AACTGTGAAATAGTACCCGCTAGCCGGTACTACGCTAAGTGGAAATGCAACCAAAAACGGGCCCCGCACGGCTCGGCACGCTTAAAGCGAGCTCCGCGCTGTAGTGGAAATGCGCCATTAGTCAATGGGAAAAAGTTGTTTTGGGCCGGGTGACGTCACGGACTGATACGGGAGTTGCAGTACTGCCGTTTGGACACAACGAATGTTGGGCACAGAGTCCGGCGCCTTTTGAATTCTCCGATCCACTATTCCTTAACCCCGTGACGTTTCACACAGAGGTCAAGGAATAGACGATAGGGATAGACGATAGGAGCTGATTTTTGGACTTTTGGACCGCAATTACCTAACACTTGAACCTGAACACACACATGCACGTGTGCAATATGTGATGTAATGTGTTTTGGGGCCATAAAATAAAATTACAACAGGATTGTACGGTTATGAATGCATAATAAGTTAGTTATGATGTAATTAAAACAATATTGGATGATAGTCATTTTTTGTTGTTGTTTTGGACTGAAATAAATCACGGGTCAAAATTGACCCGCGAACACCATGAACGGTAACAGCTTTCGAACACAACACAAGGGTTAATGATGTGAAATATAAAGCCTCAAATCAGACTTTAGTAACACCTGGAGGAAGCAGCACGTGAGGCTGGGGAAACACGTCTCTGACCCCCGGACCATCAGCACCGGTTCCCCTCAAGGCTGCGTTCTTTCCCCTCTGCTCTTCTCCCTGTACACCAACAGCTGCACCTCCAGTCACCAGTCGGTCAAGCTCCTGAAGTTCGCAGACGACACCACTCTCATCGGACTCATCTCTGGTGGGGACGAGTCTGCCTACAGATGGGAGATGGACCATCTGGTGACCTGGTGTAGGGACAACCACCTGGAGCTCAACGCTCTCAAGACAGTGGAGATGGTTGTGGACTTTAGGAAGAACGCTGCTCCCTCATCAAAAATGCACAGCAGAGGATGTTCTTCCTGAGGCAGCTGAAGAAATTCAACTTGCCAAAGACAATTTTATTTTTATTTTTTAATTTATTTATTTATTTGACAGGGACAGTGCACATTGATTGACATTTCTGTAAATGCGCCAGAGTTAGCCAACAGACTATTTTTCATCTGCAGTCCCTGGACAGATGTTGAAAGTCATCCTAAAAAAAAAAATTCACGATGGTGAACTTCTACACCTCCATCATCGAGTCCATCCTCACCTCCTCCATCACCATCTGGTACGCTGCAGCCACAGCTAAGGAAAAGGGCCTGTAATCTGCCATCCCTCCACGACCTGCACGCCTCCAGAACCCTGAGGCGGGCAGGGAAGATAGTGGCCGACCCCTCCCACCCTGGACACAAAACTGTTCACCCCCCTCCCCTCTGGCAGGAGACTGCGCTCCATCAGGACCAAAACCTCTCGCCACCTGAACAGTTTCTTACCCTCCGCTACCGGCCTCTTAAACAAGGCCCGGGCCCCCCACTGACACTTTACCTCAGCCACAACATCTCTATATGCATCACATTAATGCACACAATGTTCAATACTGCTTACTGCACATATTCATGTTTCATAGTTTATATTATATAATTCATTCTATAATTGCAATCTATTTCGCTGTAAATTACTGCTCTATTTTATTGCTATTTAACTATATTTTATTACAGTGTCCTAAAAGATTTTTTGTTTTATATTAGATTTTTTGTTTTATATTTTATGTATGCACCATGAAATCAAGTCAAATTCCTCGTATGTGTGAACATACCTGGCAATAAACCCGTTTCTGATTCTGATTCTGAAATTCACAAGATACCCTGCAGTATACAAAGTCATTAAAACTAGCTGCACCTTTACCAGCTTTGATAACCCTTTAATGATCAATCATTATATTTAAATCATATCATATACATTATTCTGAAATGGACCAATCTGCATAATGAGTAATTTTACTTTAGTTACTTTAAGTATATTTTGATGCTGATACTTTTGTATTTTTACTTGAGTCACATTTTGAACTAGAGAATGCATTTCCTGAAGAAATTGATAGTGGGAATGCTTTATGCTGAAAATCTCACGCTAAACTGCTATGCTGAAATGTAATGTGTAAGAAGAAAGTGAAGAATTTAGATTTAAATGATACATGAACACTGGGGGCTTGAATGTGTGATGAGAGAAGAAAAGAAAGTAAAAAGGCTTGGAAAAGCAGCAGAATATTTGAACTGCAAACTTTTGAACTAACTTGATGGTGAATGATCTGTCGCCATGCCAACGGCATTTGATGACATCCCATAATACGCTTAGATGTGTGGATGGCTGCATCGTTACCAAACCTGTGAAGTCTTGGGCTGTTTGGAGCATTTTCACTGAAGTTATGAGAAAACCGTGTTTCATGGCGAGCCTTGTGTTACCATGGCAACGGCATTTGAAGAAACCCCATAATTGACGTAGAACTGTTGAGGGCTGTACCGGTGATATACAAGCGAAGTTTGGAGGACGATCGGACCGTGTCCATTGGACTTACAACAAAATCGTGTTTCATGGCGAGTGGTCTGTCGCCATGGCAACGGCATTTGATGACACCCCATAATACGGTTAGATGCGTTGATGGCTGCATCGTTACCAAACCTGTGAAGTTTTGGGCTGTTTGGAGTATTTTCACTGAAGTTATGAGAAAACCGTGTTTCAAGGCGAGCATTGTGTTGCCATGGCAACGGCATTTGAAGAAATCTCAAAACTGTCCCGTAGATGTCTTCACGGCTGGACTGTTGGCACACATGTGAAGTTTTAGCACTTTTTGAACATTTTCATAGGAGTTATAGCGACATCGTCTTTTATGGCGAGGGATGCGTTTCCATGGAAACGGCATATGGTGAGATCTCAGATTTGGCGTAGAGCTGTTGAGGCATGGACCGGTGATATACAAGTGAAGATTGGGGGACGATTGGACCGTGTCCATTGGACTTACAGCGACATCGTGTTTGATGGCGAGTTGTCTGTCGCCATGGCAACGGCATTTGATGACACCCCATAATATGTTTAGATGCGTTGATGGCTGCATCGTTACCAAACCTGTGAAGTTTTGGGCTGTTTGGAGTATTTTCACTGAAGTTATGAGAAAACCGTGTTTCATGGTGAGCATTGTGTTGCCATGGCAACGGCATTTGAAGAAATCTCAAAACTGTCCCGTAGATGTTTTCACGGCTGGACTGTTAGCACACATGTGAAGTTTGAGCACTTTTTGAACATTTTCATAGGAGTTATACATTACATTAGGAGGTTACATTACTCTCTCTCTTCTCTTGATCGCCCTCTCTCTCTTCTCTTGATCGCCCTCTTGATCTTCGGCATATGATGATGACACCCCAAAATTGACGTAGAGCTGTTGAGGGCAAGACCATTAACCTTTATCTGAAGTCTGCTGCTCTGAGCATGTCAGTTGGAGTGATGACATCATCGTGTTCCACGACACAGGTGTTTATATTTGAGCTAACGAGGTGTGCAGAGATCAAAGGTTTCCATTGTTCTGAATGAGAGATAAACCTCTTACATGTGAACGTTTTGTCGAAGAACCGTAACAGATATCTGTGAAATTTCAAAACGTGAAGCATGTCAAGGAAGTTGAGTATCTGAAGTGTAATGTTTGTGTACTTTCGGGTTAATAATGTGGCCTTTTTGGCAGTTTAACCAAAGGTGTGCGGCTGCTGCCGTGAGGAAATATCAGCCTGAAATTACAATGGGCTTTAATGGAGGCATGTTGAAAGTTTTTGTCACTTCATGCCCTCAAGAGGCATTTCGTTTAATTATTTTGCTTAATTATTTGTCATTTTTCAAGCTACGAGATGTTTTCCTACGTTTGTCATGAAAAATGATGTCTCAGGAATGTAGGGTTTGGGAATTATGGCAGTTTTAAAAAGCAAATTTCAAGATTTCCTACCCTCTAGCTGTGACATCACGCACTCTAGTTAATGTTAAAATCTGAAGAAAGCCTCTTTACCAAGGTCTGAACAATGTTTAATATCTCTAAAAGTAAGAATCAGATTTAAAAGTTGTGTTACACGAATAATGTCAGAAAGATGTGTAACATTTTAAAGTTGGAATGAGGTTTTTGAGTGAAAGTATGAATGAACAGTTAGCAGTTGAAGTCGCACGAAGATTTGTTGAAGTCTGAAGAATTTCTCCATTGACTTCCATGTTAAAAATGTGATGAATTATGGGATGTATCTCTGGAATTATGAAAGTTCTGAATGATAAAAGTAATAGCCATCGATTCCCGACCGAGCTGAACGTTTTGATGTTTGAACGGAGTTTCTGCGATGTTCAATGCGGGAGGAGAAGAGGTGCAAAATTCCGGCGGAATAATAATAAAGAATTTCGTGCGTAGAAGAACAGATAGTTGGAATGCTGTTAACAGCATTCCCACTAAATGAAGGACTTTTACTAGAAGAGTATTACACTTTGGTACTTTTTACTCAAGTACAAGATCTGAGTACTTCTTCCACCTCTGATAATCTTGTTTATTTATTCTTTGTTCGTCACCTTGGTTTGACACAATTTGGAAATACTATAATGTCAAAACATTATTGTCAATTGGGAATTTAGGCTTATTCTGTAAATGCAGTTTGGACAGTTTGAATGGTATTTTCTTGCATCAAGGCTAATATATTGAGAAAGTTCAACAAGAAAGACACAGCTGCAAATTAATGTTTAGAGTATAAATAAATAAAATAGCTTGTTCATAAAATTTGACATTTCTTTTTTTTGCGGAAATTCATGTATGTGTACTTTCAGCTGTTTATTTGGAGTATTGTAAACGTACACAGTATACTATACACAAATGATTGACAAATTCTTTAAAGGGTCGGGTCACTGAAATGACAAAAAAAACAAAAAAACTATTCCCACTTTCAGCCATACAGGTAGTTTTTGTTTTATTTTCCAGGAATTCAGATGATATTCAGATGTTCATTTGGGTAATCTGTCTCTTATAGAAAAAAATACAATTGACAATAATGTATTTATTTATTTAAAAAGAACATTTACACAAATAACACAATGCTGCATTTGTATCAGTTTAACAAATCTGGCTCTTATTCCACTTGAACACATAAACTCAATAATACAATACAAAGCTCTTTCTCTCTTTTCTTTCAGAACTCCTTATAACGTTTTAGACTCTCTCATACACATAAAAACAACATGCATTAAAGCAAGGAGTCAAAAACAAACACATAAACAAACAAACAACATAGTACAAAAATATCTTAGCATGCTTAATTGATCATATTTGCATTGTTCATTTGCAGTATTGGAGTGCAGGTATTTTGCATTAAAGTTAGCTATTTTAACACCAAGAGGGAGAAAAATATTTGAAAAGTCAGTCAGTATATCCGTGTTCACATGCTCGTCTCTGCTGGTGCAGTAATGAGTCGTCCTATCACTAAACACAAACCACTATTTAAACCAGTATTTGATTCCCTTTGGTAAGATGTTTGGTTTGTCCACAGCAAATCTGGTGTTGAAATATTGTTGACAAATGTTTATTCTTGCCTTTTTTTAAATCAATTCAAAGACAATTTTTCATGACTTGGAGAGTAATCTCACAAGATATTTTGTATAAAGTTGAAATACCTAGGTGGCTATTGTAGTGTAATGACTCGAGAACCCAGCAGAGGTCCCTGTGGTGTGCCGAGTGAGTTTAGTTCAGTCGCTTTGGGGTTGAAACTTGACACATTTCCAGCAGTGGCTATTAAGGTGTAACTCTAAATTCACTAAAAAACACACAACAGAAAAAGTTAATATTTGCAAATATTGCTACATAGATTCTGAATGCCAAGTGCCATGTGTCGACAGCATATTCTGGGGGTTTTTCTATCTTTGTTGATTTTTCTTTTATCTTAATTTACTTTTTTAAAATCATGTGGCATTGTTCGATCTGCTCATGAATGTTCTAATTTATAATTTATTGTATTATTCTGCTATCTTAAAGTGCAAACAATGCAACTTGATGATAATTGAGTGTCTTTGGAGCTCTGTTATATGTTAAATGTTGCTTTGAAAACGGATTACCAAAGTCCCTCTGTTGACTATTACACACAGTAAGGTTTAAAGCAGAATTGCTAATGAATGAAAATGTATGGAAGACCATAAAAAGCAAGCAGACACGTCTACATGGCCCATCATGAATTTGATGAGACACTCTTGCTTACATTTGCATTGAATTGTTCACAATTGTTCTTATCTTGATCTGGTTAATAGTTTATTTGAAATGCCTCTGACATTTAACTGGTTATTGTGTTTTGTATTTACTTTCTGTGCACCTTTGAGAATCTTCCCCAGGATAAGAGGGTAATAAGTTAAATATGGTCAGCTAATTTTGCCTGGAGACAGGAAGTAATAGGTACAGTAGTGTTTGCCCAGTGGCACAGTGGACGGCTGCTCGCTGCTACACCTTCCACCAAATGCTACATGTGCTCAGGAGGCTGAGTAGGCAGCCTCATCCGAGTCGGGGTCCCTGGTGCTGTCCTCGCTGAGGGGGGAACGACAGCTCACGTCTGCGATCCCCGACTCCTGGTCGCTGCCGTTGGAGAGGATGGATTCGGATGTTTTGTTGGACTCCTCGGTCTGGAGGGTGATTGGTGCTCTGGGCTGACAGGGGCTGCTGGTGAAGAAGCCCCCGGTGTAGTCCTGAGGGGTGTTGGCCAGGTCGTTACAGAACGTCCACCCTGTGGGGCTCTTATCAAAGGGGACTGCTTTCTGGGGAACGCTCCACTCCTGCTCCTGCTCCAACTGGGCAATCTTCTATTGATGACACAAGGCATGAAGACTACAGTTATTTTCTATAACGAGGAAAAACCCTGCAGTAGCCTCTTGAAAATATCAAGCAGCATGGATTTATAGCCATGTCCTACCTGTTTGTGTGAAGCCAGCTGCTCCTCCAGCTGCTGAGTCTCCTCTTGGATGGCGCTCAGGTAATCCTCTACAGACTGTCGAGGATGCATCCCCTGGTCAAAGCGGTTGTACAGTGCTCTCCAAAACCTGAACCAAGCAAAAGATATTCAACTCTGAAATAAGAAGGCCTGGAAATTCAAAATAGTTGCCTGTAAATATGCCGGAAAACATTTGAAAAAGGTTTGAAGAGATTGATGCCAGCTAATTTTTCAGAAAAAACAATGCATCCAACTATTTATACACTTTGTCTTTTAGCAAAGTAAAAGTTAAGTTCCCTCTGGTACACAGCTACACCATGTACCTTTTTTGGGCTTTTATTGTGAAAGGTAAGAACAGAAGGAGTGGTTTTGGTTTCGACCACCTTCTTCCATGTTGAAAGGAGAATAAAGTTTGGCGTTTTGTTTTTATTATCTAATCTCTAAGTATAGGTCAAACTCATTAGCCTTGGTTACCATCATTTTGTGGAAGATGCAAAAAAGCATAAAGAAACTCCCAAATTATTATTATTGAATTATTGAATATTATTTTGAAATGTTTAAACGTTTTTTTTCTTCTGAGTTTTCAGTACAGTTTTAGCAACTAATAAAAAACATATTCACCATTGTGGATAATTGGGTGATAATGTGTAAGGAAGGTGGAGCTACTAGTATGATACTGTATTACTGTAGTAATGGCAGGACTCCATCTTTTAATATATCTGAAGTCTGAGAGAATATGTTATTTTTTCCATCAGATCACTTTATTGTAGCTGTTAGTTATATTTGTAGAAGATATTTCAGAGCACTATTATCAAATTTGTGTAATATTTCATATAGATATTGACATGTTGTGTGACCCTATCAGTCCTGTGTAACGTATTAATGACAGAAATCCCTTAATGTATTAATTGCATGGACAAAGCACCACTGATGTGTAAAGAGCTTAAAACGTCAATTATTTCTCCAGCCTTTGCTTCATAGTGTTTTTTAAACATACAAGTAACAGGAGACACCAGATCTTAAACCTCAGATGCATGGGTTGTCACTATTTGTGAGGACCTACTTAAAGCAGTAGGGGGCGGTGGAGGGCCGGAGGAGCCCCTGAGTCTGGCTGTGGTCGGGTCGGTACAGAGGGTTGATGTAGTCGGCCCGGTTCATCCACAGATAACTCCAAAGAGAGTGAGTCTTCCCTCGCAGTCTGTATGAATGTAAAGAGATAAAGACAGAATCAAATCATGGAGAATGCAGGAACAACATGGATTTAGAAAACATCTTTTGGTTGGTTTCTAGCAAGAGTCGTCCCAATTTGCATAATCCTGGTGATAAACTGTTGTCACTCCTCCTCAGCACTCAGTCTCCTCTCACTGACAAGATGTCTGTGCTGTGAAAAGGAAAAGAAAGGGATGGCGGCAGCAGGTTTAAATCTCACCCCAGCTCTGTCCTCTCCCGCTGGTTGTTGCCAATGAAGTTGCCGTACTGGCAGGAGTAGATGTGGCTGTGAATGGTGATGAGGAACCTCGCGTTGAACTCAAAGGCGCAGGGGAACTGCTCCATGAGCTGCCAGACGCACTCCAGGAACTGGTCGATGACCGGAGAGACCTCTTTAGGGTCTCCCTGCAGGTGGTTGCATCTGGAGAGGAGGACACAACGGTTAGATCAAAACTAGACATCAAAGATGCTAGGAAAGTAATATTTAAGAGTCAAACCTGTGAGAGAACTTGTGTCCAAATGAGATCCAGTCTTTCTCAATTAGAACCTTAGAGTAGAAAAAAACTTGAAATGTAATAAAAAAACACAGTGTATCAGGGTGATTGTAGGTTAAACAAATAAAAACAATGACAGAGCTGGGGGGGATAAACAAATGTCTGTGGTTGATCCAACCTTTCAAAGGGAATTTGCGACTTCACTATGAGAGAATTTTCTTTTTTTCTTGCAAATGAAGGATTTAATAATCTCAGAGAATATTTGTTCTGGTATCTTTGTGAGGTTTTTCTCCGAAATGACTTTCCTTCCAGCTCTGTAAATCTTAGACATATTGCAAAGGTAATCCCGCAGAATGACTGAACCTCCTCACCCTCTGTGTGGGGTAACTTTCCCCTGAATTAAAGGGCAAATTCCGAAAAAAAGGCTTGTCTATTAGGCTTAGTGGGTCTTAGTGGAATCCAAGTTACCCTGCCTAAACTATACTGATTAAAGAAACAAGCCTCACAGGACTTCCATTAGATACAGCCAAACACAGCCTTTGGTACACTCGGTATCATATTCCCACTTTCATAACTGAACTTTAGAATAAGATACAGAGTGTAGCAGAGAGGTATGTGACATTTACGATGCTTCTCAAAAATTCAGTTCTACACTGTAACTTAAATAGAAAAGGGTAAAGGTTTATTATCTACCATGAGTCCTCGGAGGGTCCTGTAGTGAGGGTCCAGCAGCACACAGGCCACTGAACACACCTGAGCGGTGCGGTCCCACCCGTCTGAGCAGTGCACCAGGACACTGACCCCCTCCTCTGCAACAGCCTGCACACACACACAAACTCATTCAGTCAATTTAAGCACTGTGCATTGCATGAACAAAAATCTGTAAAATAATAATACATTGAAAAACAACTACTGCAGTCAAAAAGCATTTTTATATTTCTAAAGCTAGCAACTTTAGATAAACCTGGTAAATCACCCCAATGAAGGCCTTGTGTTCTCCTGATATTTTCAACAATATTGTAGTTGCATCAGAGGTATTTCAAAATGAAAACAAATCTGAGTTTCTGCCAGTTATCCATTGAAATTAAATATATATATTTACAAGAGGCACCCCAGAAGCTAACCCCGGTGGTCCCCAGCCACCAGGCCACCTAACATTTGCATTGCGAGGAAACAGCCCAAAAAAACCCAGAATAATTAAATGATCACAGTATAGGCTATTTGTGCCAAAGCTATATTAAAAACAGCTCTGTCTGTCTGTCTGTTTGCTTTCCTTTACACGGACACACCCACAACACACAGCATGCAAGGGGGACCCAGAGGCACACGAAGAGGGGAGCAATATGAAATACTCCTTTTGGAGGCTGTTTGAGGTGCTGTTGAAGTGTTTTGTCTTTAACTGTTAGTTTTTCTATTATTTTGTCCATCCTATTTAATGTAGATCTGTGACGGCACCATACAAATGTATTGCATGATCTAGTTTGCACATCCAGTTTCTGCTGGGTGCGACTCATTAGTTGCAACTTACAGACAGTACAAGTACAAGTACGCACACACACACACACACACACACACACACACACACACACACACACACACACACACACACACACAACACACACACACACACACACACACACACACACACACACACACACACACACACACACACACACACACACACACACACACACACACACACACACACACACACACACACACACACACACACACACACACACACACACACACACACACACACACACACACACACACCACACACACACACACACACACACACACACACACACACACACACACACACACACACACACACACACACACACACACACACACACACACACACACACACACACACACACACACACACACACACACACACACACACACACACACACACACACACACACACACACACACACACACACACACCTTAGCGATAAAGATGCCTGCATCCAAAACAGCTTTGATGTGCTTCAGCCAGCCTGAGGTCTCCAGTCCTTCCAGGAAGTTGGACATGGAGGGGGAGCGCAGCTCACACACTGTAAGCACAACACAGCTGTCTCACTGGCAGGAAACACGGAGCATACCTGATCATTGCACTTTATTAAACCTAACATTCACAGCACTGACAACCTCCAAGACTGCACATTTATTGGGAATATCAGCACAGCATGCCACAAAGGGTTCAATTAAAAACACTTAGTCCAGAGAGATCAACAGTTGTTGAACGGATTCCCATGGAAATTTGAAATGATATTCATGTTTCCCTGAGGATGAATCCTACTAACTTTGGTGATCCTCTGTCCACAGGACTTATCTCTTTATCTTGTATCTTTCTCTAAACGAGACAGGTCAAAAAAGCAAGAGAACCACTGTGCGTGAGTACACCTGGTAGACTCTTCATCTTATTGTTAGTTATTTTAGTACATAAATGTTGGACAAAAGCCATTCTTAAACGAAAAATATCCCAGTCATGGCACACAAATACAAATCCATTTCTGCACCATAAGGCTTCCTGCATTCTGTTTGTTTATATTGTAAATCTGAAACCTAAAATTATCATTTTTTCCATCGTCAGGGTTCAATGTAAATATTTGCAAGTTGACTCGCGGGGCAGAGTGACGTGAACCTGTTTCTCCTTGGATGACATTGTATTTGCTCAGGACGATTTATCACATTACTATTCGTAATTTAGACACTCGTTTAGATAACCGATAAAAACATCTGCTCACTCCTCACTCATTAGGCTGTTGACATAGGTGACAAATTATTTTTTGCCGACACCTTATCAGTGTGCTGACCTGTAAAAGTGCTCTGAGGCCACAGATGGGAGAGCACACAGGTGAGTGGGTTCATTCAACCTTCCATAACACTAGTAGGGCAGACTTCCACTCTGAAGAAATATTTGAGCTAATGCTGCCAGCCGGGGGGGTCTTTGGAATCTTATTTAAGTGTGCAGAGTAGAGGGTAGGGAGTCAGACGGGCTCTGAGGGGCAGTCTCCAGCATTTAAAGACTTCCCTTGTCCTGCCAGGGGGCACAGAGTTATCACAACTAAGAGCAGCTATAACTTTTCAGACTTGAAATCGCATAATTCTCACGCCCTCGGTCTCTCTTTGGGGGATAAGGTCCCGGATTGTCCACTCCGGGAAACCAAAATAGCTCAGAAACAGATGGATTCAAAGTCTTCCTAGGAGCACCCCTGCACAATACCCAGAAATTCTCCTGTGGGCTCATTTGAGGCCTGATTGCAGCACAGCGCGGTTCCACATGAGTGCATATGAAAGCCACAGGGGTAGCGTGGGGTCCCGCTCTGCTATAGTAATGTGAAGAAGCAGCGGACTTTAAACAAGACAATGCCGGAAAATATACATTTCGTTCCGCAAACATTGATGTGGTGAAATATTTCTGACACGGTGATGAATGCTATGCTGGAGCTTTAACAGTAAATATATCTAAAATCATTGTGAGAAACCCTTGCAGTAAGGATTGGATAATTACCTTCCATCATTTTCTGTTGGCTGTTTCTCATCACGTGGATGTTCTCGATACCGATGAACTGGAATTTAATGTTGGAGTAGTTGTCTTCGTTTTCGTAGCCTTTTCCTGCAGCTCGGTTTGCGATTGCATTCAGCTGAAAAATACATTTGATATATTTGGGATTGCCAGAATCTTTCAAAAGGGAAATCTTTCAAAAGTGGAACTAAAATTGGATCCTCCTTCCAGGTACACTTTTGAAAAAGCCTGTTAGCCACTCAAAAATCCAAGTTGCCCACCAATGATGGTTTAGAAGTGTCATTTTTTGCCATGTATGAAGGATCTTGGTGTTAAAACATACATTGTTGACCTAGTACTGTACAAACAAATTCAAACTACAATTCAGGTATCAGGTATTTTGACCATATCTGAGCCATAAAATCTAAAAAATCTGCAAATCGAAAACATGCCCCGTAATGGGTTTGGGTTTAGGAGTGTAGTACTTGTGAGATCATGGTGTTCAGTAACTTATGTTGTGCTTTAGTGTCACAATGCTTCCTAATAAGCCACACATTTTAACATTTTGTATTTAAAAATGACAAAAAAAAGCTCTGAAGAAGTTTCTTAATTGTACAGACCTCCCAGTAGTCAAAACAAATAATTCAATACCAAATTCCCAAAATTGATCCAGTGTTTAAAATATCTTGGAAATGGCGGCCATCTTGGAAAATGGTGGCTAGCAGGTTTATTTTTTACATTAGCATCCCCAGAGGGATGAACATGGACGTTTTGGTGCTTGCATTAATTTTTGAAAGATAGTTACAGCTATCTGCAGAATTAAACGTACTTTTTTGAGACAAAAAGTATTTCAAAAAACCTGTTACATAACATTTGATTCAACAAGCAAATAGCCAGGATGTTTTCAAGGCTCAAGGCGAGCACATCCAGCTGGCAGTATAGAAAACAAAGCCCACCTGAACACACAGCATAGTACTGTAAGAGTTGTATTTACACAGGCTGTTCCTTAAGCACAAAGGGCTCACCTTAGGCCTGGTGTCCACCACATACATGAAGTCACTGCGGGGATTGGACCTCAAGATGGCCTCCAGCATCTGCTCGTCCTCCAGGCATCGAGCACTGAAACCTGACAGGGGCTGGCTGCTGCGGCAGATGGTAGCCTGGGAGGAGGCAAGAGGCACTCAGCTTCAAACAGGAATGTTTGCTCTCCTCATACTTTAAGAATTATTACTTTGGATGACATTGAGAAATAAAGAAAATCCAAAATGTGAGAATCAGGGAGAATACAAATTCACAGTGCTTTTTCTTGCCCTGCATTTTCAATTTCAATTAAATATCAACCAAACAATCTCCATTTAATAGCCACAGGGGAAAGGCCCAGAGACTGCTGTTGTGCGAGTCTCCCTTCTTTAACCAGAGCGGAGCCCCTTTGTACGAACTGAGCTCTTCACGCAGGACCCGAACCCTGGGAAGCTGACCTCACACTCATAAAGCACTCCCAACTGTCCGGTTGAGGGTTAATAGAAGGGATTACAAATGTCATGGCTTATTCCTGATTCAAATATAGAAAATGGAATTGATTCATGGTTTGATTTAAAGACAGAGTAGACGTCTCCTCGGAGGAGCTTTTGTACGCTTGACAAAGTGCCTGTTTAGAATCCATGGCAGAGCTTCTCTCTTGTGTTACAAAATTCAGGCTTATTATGGTGATTGTAGATGAACAATAAATAAATTACAGAGCTGAGAGATTTCTTTTAAATGTGTTCCTTATTTTTATTGATATATTTATTTTTTCCTATGTATTTTAGTAATCTGTAGTTGCATGTCTATTTCTGTTACCTTGGCGAGATATGATGTTGCCATGAAACAAGCCAATTTTATTTTATTAATAATAACTGAAATGGACAAAATAACAGTTTTGCCCTCCATCTTCACAGAAACAAAGTCTCATATTTTCCTGTAGTTAGGCTGTGTTGTAGAAGAAGTACATGTAAAAAAAAACTGAGAAAAGTATACTAAACCAACACTGTTGCAATACAAATCAACTGTAACACCTTTTATTATTTCAGGCTTTATTTGATAAAATATCAGCAAACGTTTTACATTTTTACTGCTAGTTACGTAATATTTACTTTTGGGGTTTGTGACTTTGCTTTTTTCGTGAAACAACAAACTCTTGCAGAGGATGATCTATCAGAGTCACAAGTCATTATGGGAAAACAAAAACTGGCCAATTAAAGCCAGCGAAAAATAAATATTGTGATAATGACATGCTGCATCTTAATATAACATATCTTATCTACATGTTATCTTATCTACTACTTTGCTTGTTCAGGGTTGCTACAAACACTACACATCACTGTCAGAGCTTGATAAACGTATTGGAGTCTTAAATTAACTCAAGTTGTCACAGGGAGAATAGGGAAAATATAAAAAGCAAATGTATGTTGTGAACTTACATGATTTTCTTTGGAGTAGTAGGACAGAGTAGGAAATCGGCCTCTGCTTCTGAACTTGGAGCTCCCCACGATGACCGGAGGTGTGGCCGACTCAGGCACAAACAGGTCAGCTGGGTACGTGTCACTCACCTTTGAGAAAAACAAAACAGAATTCCAAACTTCTGCAATGTCCATATTGGGATAAAAATAATCAGAGGTCAGCTAACTAACCTTGTAGTGTTGGTTGACAGAGGAGAGTTTCCACAGGGAGTTTGGCAGCCCCATTCTGCGGTAATCAGCCCTGAGGTCCAAAAAGTCCCATTCCTGCCGTCTCTCCTCGGCATCAATGTTAGGCTTATAGGAGAAGCAATACAGCTCATCAGGACGCTCTGCAACAGACAACAAGAGTCAATATAATTTCGAAGTGATGAAATGTGGGATTTACACCGCCTAAAGTAGGGGTGTCAAACTCAATTTCATCGCGGGCCACATTTGCATAAAGGTTGCACTCAAAGGGCTGGTTGTAACTATATAAATATATAATATATATATAAAATAATGTATTATTACATTATTGCCTCTGAATTGGATTATTATCAGATAGGATAATAACTTAGTAATTAACTACGTCTGAAAGCAGAAGTCCAGGGCAAATAATTGCAAGTCTCTTCAGTGTGCATGTCACAAAACGAGATGCATTGTGGGACATGTAGTTTATGGGCAACCTGCTTCTGTAAAGTGGCATGTAACCGTATAATAAACTTGTATATTCTTTGCAAGCTCTTGCAGGGCCACATAAAATGAAGTTGCGGGCCGGATTTGGCCCCCGGGCCTTGAGTTTGAGACCCCTGGCCTAAAGGTTACCTGGCTGGGAGAGTCTCTGTAGGGACAGGTGGACATCATGGCACTCCCGCTCTCTGGGGATGACAAAGTTTAGGACCTGGAAGTTCTTGCAGTGAATGAGCAGAGAACATCCTGAGGCTGTGGCGGCTTGTTTCTCCAAACTGCACACCAAACTGTGAAGCACCTGGGAAGAGATATGGAAGGTCAATATGGGCCTTGTGTTGCTTATTTATGTTGCAAACACATAGCACAGCATGGATGCACACAGTGACAACCTAAAAAAACATAATGTATATGTTACTGTTACTGTTTTTACTCAGTATTTGTGCTACTGCCTACCCATGTTTCATTGCGCACTCCAGCCTCGTTCTCCACAAAGATGGTGTGTGTGGCTGTCAGATAGAGGGTGCCCACCCTACTTCTTCTGGGAGAGATTCTGTCCAGCAGCCTGACATTGTCCACCTGCAGGAGGAAGAGCAATAACAACATGAGACAGCCTCATCATCCTCAGCTACTCACACAGCTGTTCATGTGTTCATGTACATGTGCGCGCACGCGCATGTGCGCGCACGCGCACACACACACACACACACACACGCTATGGCTGATAGCAGGAGGACCCTGGCTGCCTACGTGGCCGACTGTGCACACACCCTTTAATTATTCCTGTTTGTTTGTTTACATAATTGCATTAATACTGCAGTGATCGTGGCTGTTTGTGCTGAGGGGACACTGGTGTTCAGTGCGGAAATGTAGCTAATCAGTGCAGCCAGACCCGAGGTTACCTTTGGCAGTCGGATGTGCTCCATCAGCAGCTGAGAGATGAGCCGCAGCTTCCTGAACCAGTCACGATACGACTACCAACAGCACAGCATGTGTGCGATATTATAAAAACAATCTGCAGTAGGTTAGATTAAATGGTTACGGTTGTTCGTCAGTAGCGCGCAGGTAAACGCTGCCATAATATCTGCTGCCTGGAGTCATCATGGGAGCTGCACCGCTGGGTCCTAGAGCCCGCCCTGTCTCGAGTGTTAAAGGGGGACTCAGGTCTCTAGCTGACCAAAGTTACTTACATTATAAGTTCATTTTAGACATTTTCTCACCATAAAACATCGAAGAAGAACATTTGTTGTACTGTTAATCTTCACTGAAATTACTATTGTTATTTCTTTTTTGCATTATTGTTCGATGGAGTGGTTTATTGACAAATAGCTAGCTAAAATTCAAGCTAACGTTATTATGGTGGGAGAAGCTTTTTTCAGAACGGTAGTGATTAACATAGGCTAAACATGTTCACCTGTGAATCTAATTTGCTATAGTAACTTAAATGTATGCTGTTTAAAAATGACCGTCTTTGAACTGTCAACATAGTAGGCTAAATGAGCCGGTATAAACCCTAAATCAGTTCTCAACCTCAGGGTCGTGACCCCAAAAGTGGTGCGTCATAGCTTTACGGAGGGGTCATGAGTCCTTGATTTAAATGGTGTAAGACAACTTATTTTCTATTCTTTTGAATATACATGTGGCCTATATCTCTGAATTTAATTCATTTATATGAAGAAAAACAAAACAAAGGGTTCATTCAAAAATTATAAGTCAAGACAGGCAACATTACAATAGTGTACAGTGTGGCAATATAATAACAATAAACTGTGCCAGGTGTGTTGTATGCACAGTAAATAGGCTCAGCAGCAAACCCACCTTTATTATTTATTATATATCTTCCTGAGACCCACTGCATCCGTCTGCCATAAACACTATGGAAACCTACATGTTAGTTTCGGCCCATAGTGGACTCCATTTTGTGTTGTGTAAAATGGGGGGGGGAATTAAAAGTTTGCAAATCCCCATGTCCTCCTCAGAGGACAATCATAAAAACATTTAGTTTTAGGTCAAATAATATTTTAAACGATATAAATTATCATATTTGTGTATGTGCCCCTGCCATTCCTCCACAAGGTTGCAACATTGATGATAAATAAATGACAAATAAAGCTTTGCCAGTTTATAACCGATGAAACATGATGGTATCAGAATAATCACTTACATGTGATGTATAGGATGCTACACAGGTCACTAAAGATAAAGTGTCAGGAGAAATAAGCAAGATACAGGATATGTTTAACAGTAAATAGAAGTTCACATTTTTAATGTAAATAAAATAGAAGTTGTACATGTAAATTAACATTATCAATATAAAATAAAGTGTCAGTTGTATCAAGACTATATAATAACAGTAATAACAATAATATAAAATGAACTGGTGAGCATCTTGTCCTCCGTTTCCTGGGCCTTGGTGAACAGCACCATCTGATCCCCGTGCATCGACTCTTTCACCACGGCACGCCGGTCCTCCAACGCCTGGACGGTGTCAAAGAAATTCGCATCCCGTGTCCGCTTTCCTAAGAGGGGAAAATAAGCAAGATACAAGATCTGTTTAGTCGCCATGTAGTTTTACAACATACTAGTGTGTGTGTGTGTGTGTGTGTAGCTGCCGCTCAAAGTGCCCTTCTTTATTGTTTTGTATTTTTGAAGAGTGCTTCATGTATGCTTGAACTTTGTTTAATGTTGTTGAGGCAAGCTTTCTTACCGGAAGTCATGTGACCTCTAGCCCGGATGTTTACAATAGAGAGAGTAAAAAGGCGCGAACATTTGTAAATGCCGGTCTAGGCGAATACGTTTTCACGCCGTTTCATAATTGTACCAAGAAGGAAATAAACATGATTGTGAACATCAGTTCGATGCGTAGAAGTGCTCTTTGGTTCGGTGGTATTTGTTTCCGGAGGAGGAAGTTGCTGCGAATCGGCTAGCTGATTCTGGTAGACGGCGGTGGCAACACTGGACTGTGACTGGACGAGAGATGGCAGAGGGAAGTGACAAGGCAGGAAGCGAGTTAGGAGACATGGACGTAACAGGCGCAGGCGGGAGTTGTGAAAATGGAAAATGGGATATAGTGAGGAGAAATAAACGTAAAAAGGGAGGAAATACTAATTCGGATGAGAGCAATAGTGAGGGTGAAAGGAGAGAAAGAGTGGTCGGAAATAGGCAACAGGAGTTCATGGTGGTTGTGAAACTTGCGCAAGAGGGAGCTTCGTTTGGCGTGTGGAACCCAATACGGTTAACTAAATCCATCAGTAAAGAAATCGGGGAGGTGATGAGTGCTAAAGTATTGAGGAATGGATCAATGTTGATCAAATGTAGGGATAGAGAGCAACAGGGGAAAGCAATAACGATGAGTACTGTGGAGGGTAAGAAAGTGGAATGTTCACTGTTCAGTGGTAGAAAGCTAGTCAGGGGAGTTGTGACAGGAATCCCCGTCAGAATATCAGCTGAGGATGTGAAAGGGAATATAACAAATGCAAGAATAAGTGATGTCAAACGCATGAAAGCAAACCGCAATGGGATCAAAGAGGATAGTCTTTCGGTTCTGATCACTTTTGATGAAAAAAGTCTTCCGGAAAAGATACTCATTGGATATATGTGTTATTATGTGAGACCGTATGTTCCACCACCACTAAGATGTTTTAAATGTCAGAGATTTGGGCATGTGGCGGCAGTGTGCAAGGGAAAACAAAGGTGTGGCAGATGTGGTGGAGATCATGAATACGGCAAATGTGAGGAAGGGGCAAAGCTGAAATGTTGCAATTGCGGAGGGGAGCATAGCTCAGCGTACCGTGGATGTGAGGTTAGCAAGAAAGCAGAAGAGGTGCAGCGAGTCAGGGTGACGCAGGGAGTTAGCTATGCAGAGGCAGCAAAGACAGTTTCAGGAGGAACGCAGGTTACAATGGAAAACAACAAAAAGAGCAAAGAAACAGAAAAAGTTCACAACTGTGTTAAGTTGAAGGAGGACACTCTGATAGTGAGTAAAAGAGAGTTTGTACTGTTTATGGCAGAGATTATCAACTGTTCAGCGCAGACTAAAAGCCGGAATGAAAGAATCAAAATAATTGTCAAATCAGCTGAAAAGTACCTTGATGTGAAAGGGATGCACTGGGAACATGTGAAAGATATCCTGAATGATGACGTCCAACAATCTCAGACATGGAGTGGATCATCCTGATGGTGTTAATTGTACTGCAGTGGAATGCTAGAAGTTTAATTGCAAATGGACAAGAGTTCAAAAAATATATTGACAACCTGGGAGAGAAACCTAATGTACTTTGTATCCAGGAAACATGGCTGAAACCACAACTGGATTTTATTGTGAAGGGATATACTGCAGTTAGACGAGATAGGGACTCTGGCAGAGGGGGAGGAGTTGCAACATTCATACAGAGTGGTATAAGTTACAAAGTTATGCATGTAAGTACAGAGCATGAGGCAATAGTTATAAGGGTATGGAATGATAGAGGACCTATAGATATAGTAAATTATTATAATCCATGTGGGAAATTAGATCAAAGTATATTAGAGGATGCTGGGGGTTCACTGCAAGACAAAGTAATATGGTGTGGGGATTTTAATTCACATAACTCGCTATGGGGAAGCAGTAGCACAGATGCAAATGGTGCAGTAGTTGAGGAATTTATAGATGACCACGGGCTAGTGTGTATTAACACTGGGGAAGGAACACGATATAATTGCACGAAGAATATAGAAACAGTACTCGATCTGACATTTGTATCTAGTGCTATAGCAGGTATAAGTACATGGGATGTGGTAAAGCATACTACAGTGGGCAGCGATCATTATCCGGTGATGACTAAAGTTGGAACCAACATGAGTTTTGAAAAGGAAAAGAAAATTCCTAGGTGGAAATTGGGAAAGGCTAATTGGGATGCCTTTCAAGTTGTAAGTACGAATAGATGTAAAACACTTCAAGAGGAACATTTTGATGATATAAATAAATTAAATGATGAGCTGGTCAAGGTTATCATTCATTCAGCTAAAGAAACAATTCCGAAAATTGCAGGAGCTAGGCGTACCAAGAGTGTACCCTGGTGGAATGGTGAATGTAGCAAGTCCATTAAAGACAGAAATAAAGCATTCAGGCAACTCAAACAACTCCATTCTCAGGAAGCTTTGAATCAGTATAAAAGGGCCCAGGCTATAGTAAGGAGAACAATAAGAACGCAAAAACGCACTTTTTGGAGGCAATATTGCAATAGTATTGGAAGAGAAGTACAGCTTGCAGATGTTTGGGGCATGATTAGGAGAATGGGGGGAATTCGAAGGAATTATGAGTTGCCAGTTTTGAGCAGAGGGGACATAATGGCTGTCACAAACTTAGGAAAGGCGGAACTTCTAGCTCAAACATTTAGGAAAGTTCATAGTTCGGATAACCTTACAGAGGAAGCCAGGCAGTGCAGAAATAATACACTAATGGAAAACCCGAGAATATTGGATAGAGTAGAAGTGTTAGGGGATCAGTTGGACCTGCATTTTAGTATGTTTGAGTTGAGAAGAGCAATTATTAGTGCTCGTCAAACCACTCCTGGGAAAGATGGTGTTTGTTACAAAATGTTGGAACACATGACAGATAACACTCTAGTCATTGTGTTAAGGTTGTTTAACAGGGTGTGGGATTCTGGCCAACTTCCTTCAGTGTGGAAAGAAGCGATAATAGTGCCCATCCGAAAGCCAGGGAAAGACCCTTCAGATCCATCTAGCTACAGACCTATTGCCCTGACATCTCATTTATGCAAAATTATGGAAAGAATGGTTACAGAAAGGTTAACATATATCTTAGAAAGTAAAGCTCTGTTGTCCCCATATCAAAGTGGGTTTCGTAGGGGTCGGAATACAATGGATTCTATATTGTGCTTATAATCAGACATCAGGAAAGCACAGACCAACAAGGAAGTAGTGATTGCAGTCTTCTTTGATATTGAAAAGGCTTATGACATGCTCTGGAAGGAAGGACTACTAATCAAGTTAAAATCATTGGGAATTGGTGGTAAAGCATATAATTGGGTTATGAATTTTTTACTGGACAGGAAAATACAAGTAAGAGTAGGTGCAGAGTACTCAAGTGTTTATGCTGTGGAGAATGGTA